ACAAATATATAGGAAACCTTTGTCAAAAAGTTTACCTTTCTACCATTTGCATGACATTTTTTAGGTCGTTTAAATTATTTATCTTCGAAATACGAGTTTTCAAGTTTATTTTTTGTTTGCCGAACATCGGATATGTTTTAGTAAAAAATGACAATAATCAATTTCAAAGACATATTACTTATCTTATTAAGTCTATGGCCATTTGTTTCAAAAATAACTACAGCCCTTTCTTGTTTTAATTATTTTAATTCTTTTAAGTATATTGAGCTTTATTATTTATTTTTTTTTTAAATAAATAAATCTATTTACCATGTGTGAACATGAACAGATTTTATACAGGTTTCTCTTCAAGCTGTTATGTAATAAACTTTTCTGTGTAAAGTTCTATTGTAAAGGAAAATAATAAAACAAAATTTGTTTTAGAACTGGTACGATTTGTTGGTGCGCAGTAGTTTGGGTCAAGACAAGTTTTCTCTTGGGGATCGATCTAAGAAATTGTATCTTGTAAGTGATGACGAGCATTTGAAATAGTTCAATAAGAACTCGCACCACCCTAACAAATAAGAAAAAAACTATCTCAGAATAGATTGATTTTCTGACAAACCAAAAAGATATTATAATTTTTGTCATAAAAATAAGGTACTTTCAATTTATAAGAAATTTCTCATGCATTCGGAAACTTGTTTAATGTTTAATTGATAACAATTAGTAGTAGAAAAATAAGCATCAACCTAATAATAATAATCTAGTTTTAATGTAATATCAATTATTTTTCGTGAAGTATGTATCTTCAACCAATTTAACTTGAGATCACACTTATAAGGAAAATGTTTTTTTTTATATTAAGAGAAATTATTTTTAGTATTTTGAAATACAAATTCGAAGAAATGTTCATAAGATATAATAAAAAAATATCGATTGTTTGCTTCAAATTCGTTTTTCAGCGATTTATACACCATTGAGAATTCAGGATAATAATAAAATTTAAAAAACTAATTACTTTTTTAATCTTTCTGCAATTCTTAAGAATTCAAAAAATCAGATAAAAATACGATTCAAACAGTTTTTGATACTTATTTATTTTTTTATTGATACGGCTTTAAATTTCTACAGTCATTAGCCATAGGTTGTTTATCTTAAATAATTTTAGGATAATTTAAATTTATTGGTAGCAGACGTCATTTTTTAAAAATATTTTTTATATACATTAAATTATGTTTAAAATCGTTTTATTTGTTTAATTTGTTATTAAATTGTACGCTGAATTTACAATATTTACCATGAATGAACAGATTAAATATTTATATATTTAAGAGATTAGTGAAAACAAGAATTTTCTGTGAAACAAATCTCATTAGATTAATTCGTTTTGTAATTAAAGTAATTATTTTACTTTAATATAATCTAATTTGAAATTGATTAACTATTTATTTGTCGTTTTTTTAGCTTTGATGTGAAGCTGAGAAGGCGTTAATTTTTTTAAATTAATTAATAATATATTAACGTGTTAATTAATTTAAAATATTTTAGTTTTACTTTAAAAATATTCATCGGTCAATGCGTGACTAAGTTAATAAATTAATACAAACATTTTGAAGAGATTTCTAACCCTAAATATTTTTTAGATTTTATTTTTATCATTCTTAATATTAATATGCGACCATTTTTGTCTTTTTTTTTATAAATTTAAAATCCCCATAATCTCATTATTTTTCCATATTCAGCAAAATTATTTTTATTTTCCTAATATTTTAATATTAATAAAAAATGAAACATTAAAGAATTAACATGGGTTGACAGGGAACTCTCCCTTTTTATTATTTTAGGTCTATCTGACTAAAACTTTATTTTAAGTTCAACTACCCTTATAAAGTACAAGGCCTAATATAATACAATTTTTGAAACTATAGGATTAACTTTTTAATGTTATTTAAGAAACTCATAACACCAATCAAGTTTTTTAGTCCCGTAAATTCTACAGTAATTATAGTAATTTTACTAGAATTATTTTAATATACAATTTATGTGAATAAATATGTTTTCATAAATATTTTTAAAATTTTCAAGTTATCATACTGAAAATGGAAACTATACAAAACACATGGAACAGGAACGCTTTATAACCAACGGACATTTTTTTAATTTAGTAAAGAGAATGTGTGACCATAACATGAGTAATGCTCAAAATTACATTTAGGGATGTAGTGAAGGGAGGACCGCGACTGTTGCAAGTTTGACCGAATGAGAATGATTTGAGTCATCATAAACATCGTTGAGAAGGGGATAATTGGAATGTGTCGTATGGTGTATTTTATCATTTTCATTCATTATAGAACATCAAGGGGTGAATAATGTGTTTGTCATATCATTTATATATAAAATAACAAACATTTTTTACAGAGATAACATGCAATGTATATTTTGTAAAATTGTTGCATTTTTCTTACAAAATGAAAAATCTCAACAAAATTGAGAGTTATTCAAAAAAAGGTAGCACGGTGTGAACGTGGCATACTTGGGACTAGGATAGATGATATCTGACAGTGGTTAAAATCACTATCATAAGAAACGCTTCAATGCAAATCTATAGATAGTGTTTAATTTTAAAAAATTGGTGGATTATTCAAAAGCAAAATTCTAACACAAAAAGAATTTAAAAAAAATTGCAAATAAATCATTGCCACAGACAATGATTTTTAATGAATCGGCAAACGTTCGTCGCATTCGTTTTTTGATAAAATTGGCAATTTAAGCTGATTCAAATGTTAAAATTAATTTTTTTGACTCAACAGAAAAAAAAATTGAAATAAGTTTAACTTTATATTCTATATCAATTAATTTTATATAATATTCATGAAAATCAGTGTACCCCATTATAAGGTATATTAAAATACAATATCAAGAATTTTAACACAAAAATAGCATAATTTTAGAATATGATAACCATGTTCACTATACCTCAAATTTTTTTTTTTATAGTATAGTATATTACATTAGCTTTAATTTAATATTAATTAAAAGTGTCCATATTTCCGGAAAATTTTCAAAAATGTATATCAAATGGAAGAAGTAAACATAAAATATTTATGACAAAATAATTGTATTGATCCACACATTTTTCAAAAAGTTATAGTAATTTTAAGTTGAAAATATGAAATTGTAAATTTTAACATCAAAATGGCATGTTTTTTATCTACGGCAACCATTTTCACATAGAAATAAATCGTCGGGACAATTTTTTGTTTGAACTTATAGTAAATAATATTAGCTTTATTTTAGTATATGTTTGAAGTTCGGAGTGTTTTCGAAACATTTTCAAGTTGAAAAATAAAAATTTTTGTGTAGAAGTTGCTATTTTGAATTACCCTGTGGGCAGAAGAGGGGTCATATTTTCAAAAAATTTATATCAAATGAAAGAGAAATATCTATGGTTTCAATATAAAAAAGAATTATTTTAATTCGTTCATTTTTTAATAAGTTATTGCAATTTTTAGAAAAAAGTTTTAAAAATGTCAAAATTTATCGATTTTAGAAATTGTAATTTTTGGGTAGATTTTTACTATTTACGCGGAACGAGGGCAAAATTTTCAATTTTGGAGGGTAATGTCTTCAACTAGATACGATCTTTTGACGTATCGTTGAGAAAAATCGATCCAGTGAGAGCTGAGAAAAAGTAGTGACAGACACAAAAATAAAATAAAATAAAATAAACACATCATTCTCAGATTCGCATTGAAGTTAAAATTAATCGATAAAAATTTAGAGTAAATAGAAATAAAATATTTTACAATAGTTGTAGTATAACCAAAACCCAACGTATCATAGTAAAATTATAAAGTTAGTATTCAATTAATATTGAATTTATAATATAATACTTACTTAAACGTAACTGGAAAATTATATTATAAGACGTATTTTTTACAACTAAATAATAGTTATTTTTATCGTGATATGTTTGGAAAAAATTAGAATAATACATAGAAAAATTAGATAAATATCAATAAAATGTGTGTAAAAATATATAAAAATTATTATTGTGCATTCAATTTTTTTTCAATCACTTAACTTCAATGAGGTAATAAAAACATCAATAAGAAAAATTATTTAACTACAATGAATTAATTTAGGATTTATGAATGGACAACGTAACATATAAATTTGTTAAGTTTATTAACTGGTTATACTAACGCAAGAAAACAGTAGCTTTTGTTTACCAATTTTGTATAAAAGAAAACAGGAGTTTTCTTGAACACAGATATTTTTAGGATAATAATAATATACAATTACAATTAATAACTTTAACTGTGTAAATAACAAATGAATGAGAAAAGGTAACAGAAATTTAGAAGAAGACATATAGTAATTTAAAATCTAATAATTATCAAGAATTCAGCATTTTAACTCATTTTAATTGCATTTCTAACTATGCATTTTTCTTAAGCAAAATACAATATGATTTATCATCAATAATAACATCCATTTTTTGTTAATTAATTGTTCATACGCATGTACTACTTAAAATTTTATTTATTTTTATGAATCGTTGTAAATATCATGTAAATATACATGGATTATAAAAATAAATCAAATTTAATTTGTAAAATTTTATGAAATATTACTATGTAATAACAAAATGTAGAATAGTCTTCTCAGTAAATCATACTATATAAATGTAAATTTTACAAAAGATTAAAACCCATTACTTAATGAGTAAAAAGAAAAAAAAAACATTTGATTATTTTACACAATAAAGGGTGGTTTCTCTAAAAATATTATTTAATATTTTGTAATTTTAATGTTTAGCTGTATTTGCATTCATTATACTACCCATCTTCTATTGACATATTTAATATTTATAAAAATAAAAAATAAATTTAAACATTTAAGTGGAAAATTAAAAATATTCAACAGTATTATGGTCATATGTACACATGTATATACAGAAGAAATGGTGTAGAATAGTTACTGTGTAACAGTATTTTGATAAATGAACTGCTGAAGAATTAATAATTCTTATAATATAATAATTCAATTATTATCAATAATTATTTTAAATTACAAATATAAAATATACATAATATATATTTATTAAAAGCAAAAATATGATAATCAATTGTTTAATACTAGACTATTTTGACTATCAATATTACTTGAGTTTAATATTTGTCTTCTAGCTTCAAAGCATAAGATGCCAACAGTAGTCGCTGAATTTAAACTCTCCACCTCATTTAATAAAGGTATGTAAACTCGAATACCTTTTCTATTTTCAGCAAATTTATAAGCTTCATCACTTATGCCATGTGTTTCACCACCAATTATTAAAATTAATGGAGTACCTTTACAATAATCTACATCATGATATGGAATTATTGCTAATTGAGTATTTATAGTTTTAGAAAATACTTTGACTTCTGATTTATTTGTATCATATTTTGTACTTAAGTTATTATTATCAGCAACACATACATGACCTTTCAAGTTTTCCAATGAACTCCAAGATACATCTGATGAGATGTCTATTCTAAAATGTGCACCACAAGCTGATCTTAAAACTTTGTCTCCCCACATATCTGTACAACCTATAAAAATCAATATTAATTTTAAAAAAAATTCTTACATAAACTTCATTATTCATGAGAACATTCAAATTGTATAGTAAAATTTTATCATTTGTGGCTAATTTTATTTAAAATAATTTTAATTTAAAAAAGACATATAAGTTCATACATTTTTAATAACAACAATGACAAATTGTAATTTACAATAAATTCAGCACATACTTGCGACAAATTATACAGAGTGATTGGTATATCATAAACTACTCGTTTATTTGCTAAATAAATACAATATAAAAAAAACAATTTTTGATTTATTTAAGTTACATATCCTTTATAACTTAAAGGGTTGTTAACTTTATTTTATTAACAATTTGTAATGACTGGAGGTGAGGAGTGGTTGTTGCTATTTTTATCATTAATCACTTCCCGGTTATACTCTTCATCCTATCTAGGCATAAAAATAGGAATAACTTCTGAAATACTGGTCTAAAAGTTGTTATTTTATTAATTAGATTATTTCCTATTTTATAAGCTAGTTAAACATTTTAGTTGTAATCTATAAAAATTAAGTTGACACCCCATTAAGTTGATTCTAAAAAGTAATTATTAGTTGATAAATCAAGAAATATATGTAAATGAAAAAACAAAGTTTATTTTCTAAATTGTATTTATTTTTAAAGTAATGGAATGGTTAATTAAAGAACCTATACCTTTTGTTAAAATAATTTTTGAAACACCGACAGCAGTTACAGTTCTTAAAATTGATCCTAAATTACCCGGTTCACGAATGTTGTCACAGATAACTGTAATTGGAAATAAATTTTTTGAAGTAGGCATTTCAAACATTGGCATTTCAAATATTCCTATAAATCATGTAATATTATCAATTTGGTAGATCATATAGATAAAAAATTTTACCCATTATTCCTTGTGATGTTTCAGTGTTTGAAAAAAGCTGCATCATTTTATAGGGGGTTTGATAAAATATTGTATCTATAACTGACAGTTCTCTTAGATTGTTTGGTAAATACAAACTTTCTAAAACTCTTTTTTGACTAAAAAATATTTTTTTTGGTTTAACACCAATATTTAATGCATCTTGAATTAATCGTTTTCCTTCTAGTAATATACTAGCCTTCTTTTGACGTGTTTTTCTATTTTTTACTTCCATAATGGCTTGACTGAAATTATAGAAATAAATACATTTACATATAAGTACAATTTGTGTTCTATTCAAAATTGAAAAAGTTATTTTATCTTTAAAAAAATATTTAAAAATTTGTATTAAAATTAAATAAGTTATTTAATCTAGCTTTAAGCAAAAGAACAATCGACTATAAATCAACAAAAATCATAGTTGATAAAATATAATATTTTTTAGAGATAAAATATTTTGTATAAATGATATAAGAAAACAACATTAATTGGCAATATCAAGTCATCTATCTGTTTATAAACAAAATAATATTTTGGAATTTTCATAACATAATATTTACCTTAATATAGGACTAGTTTCTTTTAGAATGACATAGGCAGGAAATCCTGTTTCACTTTTATTTACAGCTCCTAACACTCCACTTCGTGCATGAGGTTTCAGTTTATGTAATGTTTCTTCAAATGTTTTAGATTCTGATGAAAAATTTTTGCTAGAATTAATTATCATCGTGCGATATGTGGTCAAAACACAGCGACAAACTGATTTCATTTTTATGCTCTTTTTAAACTAAAATCAGTCACAAAACTTTTTAGCTTAATAAGTTTACAAAAGAAATCAAAAAAGCATTCCTTCCTAAGCAAAATTATTAATAAATTAATATGTTATGTGCACATGTACTATTATCAATGAAATAGCACATCTCTTGATAAGAGATACTGAAAAATAATTACAGAATTATATGATAAAGTTTTATCACAGAAACTCTGTCATTTTATATTGTTATCATTTTATACAGCTGTTTTTGTCATTATACTATGACTGACATGTGGCGTAAATGATAAATGTATATTACTAGTATTTTTTTAGATAGTGAAAATTACTTTTACAACGTCTCGTATGTTATGCTTACTTTCTTACGTAGTATCACAACTGCAGAATTTAAAAAAACAATTAAAATTGGTTTTTAGTGATATTTAAATCTAATTTTTTGTTTTAAAAATAATTAATTATTCAATTTTTTTTAAAGTTATTTGTCCGTATGTTATATTAATAATATGAAAATACTAAAAAATACATAAAAAAAATTAATTAAAGTAAATGTTATCCAGATAGCTATGGATTTTAATACATTACTCTATCAAGCACAAAAAAATAACCACAAAGATAACTATGTGAGTATTTGTATAATATTATTTTGAAACAAATTTAATTGTTATAATAAATTCTTATAAGTTACTTGTTATTTTCTATAATAAAAAAATAGTTTATAGTTCAGTATATAAAAAAAAAGAAAATTCATATGATCTATATCCACTTAATACCCAAGTTTTTTTTAAATTTAGGTCAATTATTATAAAGCATCTTTGGATCCTCCAAAAAAGGAAACTAAAGAAAAAAAGTTATCAGATAATATAAAAAAATTCTTAGCTAAAAAAGAAGAAGAAGAAAAACAAAAAAAGTTGGAAGAACGAAGAAAGAAAGAAGAATTATTATCTTTGCGTAGTCAAGATAGGAAGTCTTTTAAAAGAGTTCAGTCCATGTTAAATCGAACCAAATCAGCAAACAAAGCTGTTATAGAAGATGCAAAAGATGATGTTAATACATCTGTTACTATGGCTGGTAAGTTTTCTGAATTTGTTTCTAATTAAATACTAAATTCAATTAGTATAAATAATTAATTTTTATATTTATGTTAAAAACCAATTAAAACCATCACTACCTCTTTCATTAAACAAATTATTTATGTGAGTATATTTGGGACAGGACAATAAATCTAATACTAGAGGAGGGATAGTGACTAATAAATTAACTGATCTCTTACTCAGAAATTGTAGTGCCTATGATCTAACTATTTTGCATATTTCATGTAATTAAATACAAAGAAATCATAAGTATTAATGTCTTTAGAAAATTAGTCCAATAAATTTATAAAATAATACTTTTTTTACATATGTATTATTGTAGGACATCAACAGCCTGATGAAGATGATTATGGTTATGTATCAAAAGATGCCATGGATATCTATAATAATATTATTAATAAATATGTTAACACACCAGCAGACTCGAGAAGCTGTAAAGTCACAAGCAATAAATCATCAGATATCTCTGGAACTAAGGTAAATTTTTTTGATTAATTTATCATTATAGTGTGTAACATTTATATTAGATTTATTTTTTTAATATTATTTTATAGGATCGAGTTAAAGCAGCTTTACTTAAAGAAGAAGAAGACCAACTGTTACCTCATAAACGTAAAAGAAAATCAAAAGACAATGATAATGGAGATGATATTTGTAGTGATAGTGAACCACAACAGAAGAAAAATAAATCTGATTCTATTTCTGACCAACATAAAAAGCGTCCTTCTCAACCACCTCCAATGAATTTTCAAGAACTGCTTAAAATTGCTGAAAAGAAACAGCATGAACCAATTATTATTGAAAAAAAAGTCAAAGAGGAGACTACTCCGATGATGACTAAAAAAGAAAAAGAAAAATATTTAGAAGAGAAAAAGTTAGAAGCCATGAGAATAGCTCGAAGACAAGGTAAACCAATTTTACCTTCACTAGATAAATCTAAAGATCTAAAATCAACAGAAAAATTGAAATTTCCATCTTCTAAGATTGATCCACATGCAGAAGAAAAACTTAAAAAGAGTTCATCTGTTTGGGCAAAAGATTTGAAAATCAATAAAGAGCTCAATAACAACAAGAATAAATATTTACCTCAAAAAGTAAGTGAGTCTGAGGTAAGATCTAATGGAAAACATGAAAAATATGTACCTCGACAACCAAATCATTCTTATATAATATCTAATGGAAAACATGAAAAATATGTACCTTCACAACCAAATCATTCTGAGATAAAATCCAATGGAACACATCAAAAATATGTTCCACAAAGTGTTCCAGAAAAATATATACCTAAAGAAAAAAAACGATATAGTTCCGAAGATGAAAGATATTCGCCAAAACCTAAAGTTATAATGTTGCTAGATGAAAAGTATGTACCTAGAAGTAAAAATAACTCTTTAGATAAATACTCTCCAAGTCTTAAATATAATTCCACTAGTGATAAATATGTGCCTAAACCAAAATCAAATAACAAATACTCTGAAAATTCAAAATCTGATAAATGTTCTAAGCCTCATAGTATAACTTTTAGTGATAAGCATTTACCAAAATCTACTAAACTTAATGAAAAATATGTACCGAGCTCAAAAAATACTTCTGTAGAAAGATATTCCCCTAAACCAAAATCTGTAAGTTCACATGAAAAATATGTACCTCAAATGCAGAATTCAAGATCTTCAAATAAATATCTGTCTAGTACAAAATCACAATCTACTGAAAAATATTATCCTGAGCCTTCATCATGTTCAAATAAAAGTATTAAATCAAATCCTGAAAAATATATTCCATCTACAATTGATAAGTCTAAAAAAACTGCCTATGAAGCTAAACCTAAACACCTTCCCCCTAAAGATAAGGTGCCCAAACAATTCCCTCCTAGAGACATGATATCAAAGCAATTTCCACCTAAAGATATGATACCAAAACGGTTTCCACCAGATGATGTTCAAAGAAGAAATAATCGCTCTATGCCTATTCGAAGTAAACAACTTGTAATTGAATCAGATTCAGATGAATATGACTCAGAACTTGATGATTTTATTGATGATGGACCAGAAGATGAAGCTGACTATTCAAGAGTTATTTCTGAAATTTTTAAATATGATAAAAATAAGTAAGTAAATAGTAAAAATTTGTTATAAATGATGAGTTATTTTATAATAATTAACTTGAAGATATATCTTTAAAAACAATTTAAATACTGACTAGAAGGTTTTTACTAGATAAAAAGATACATATTGTAAATTGTAGTTGTCTAAGTTTTATAATGAACTTAAATTTAGTATATATTTTTATAGATATAGAGGAATGGATGATGACGATGATGAATGTATGGAATCAGATTTCCGTACTCTTCAAAAAGAAGAATATCGTAGTACAAGAGCTGGTAAATATAATTTTATTTTTATTAAATTATTAACTCGTGTTAACAATTAAATTATAAATTTTAATAAAGATACAATGTAGCTTAATGTAAACCTCTTATAAGATAAGTTAATTATTGAGGTAAAACTTCACTAGTTTCTTTCTAATCTTGCATATATTTCTGTTTAAAATTTTCTATCATTCTCCATTCCCTAAATGTAACAAAAATAAAGTCTTTTTAAGTTTGGTAAATAAATAACACCTTTACTCATATACAATAATAAATATCTAAATAAAACAAATATTAATTTTTAAGTCACTAATTGTAAATTAAAAATTAGAATTTTCTATCAACATTTTATTATATAATTTTTTTTTTTTTTTTAAATTAATATTTATAATTAAAATATTGATTCTATTACAGGTTTATTGGAAGATCTTGCAGATATTCGAAGAGAAAAAATGATGACGAAGAAACGGAAAAAACTATAGTTAAAATAAATTTATACAGTTAAAAACTATAATATATTTGAAAACTACAATCATGCACTTGATTTGTTTATACAATGAATACATTCATTTAAATTGATTTTACTGTTACCACTTTTTTTATTAATTTGTTTTTTATGACTTTCATTATTTTGATTGTTATTTGTTTTTCTTATTATCAGTTTTCATATTTTTTCATAATGTACTTTCTATTAAGTTGATTGTTAACTTATTTAGTTTTAATTAATATTTACATTTGTTATACAACTGTTGGATTACAAATTATGTACAATGAAATTTGTAAAATCAATTAATTACTTTATAATTATTTGCGTGATCAAATAATGACAATTAATAATCATTTAACACAAATAGGTTAATCTTAAGGTTTACATACTTTTTTCTTTTTTAGCCGTTAACTTTTATTGGTTTAATTTTGATTTAAGAGAATATTTTAAAATATATGAATAAAATTTTTAAAAATTAGTTAACTTAAATAATTGTGATAAAACTAAAAGTATACTTTTAGAAATATAAAGCAAATTGTATAGATATAATCATTGATTAATTGTTGTTACAAATTTGATAAAATAGTTCTTATTACATTTTTAATAATTGTATGTACAATGAAACTTTTTCTTCAAATAGTGTCTTTGAATAGTAAGTTTAGTAAAATATTACTTAATTTGCTATAAAATTGGTTTTTTTTCTATTATAAACCAAGTGATTTTGTGTTACTATAAATACATTAATTTTCATCCTAGATATTTTTAATGTTAAGCATTATTATTATTTTATTTTAACAAAAAATAAATAATGTAAAATTGATTTATAGTTAGCTTGAATCTATATTTGTGGTATAATTTTTTTTTTTTTTGTAATTTTAACCTAACAAGCTTAAGATATTTCTTATTACAGAAGTCATGTTGGGAAACTTGTTGTATGAATGAGACTTGATTAAGTTATCATATATTAATTCACAAAACTTAATTTACATCAACATTTTTTGTATATTCTCTCTTAAAAGTATTTTGTTTCCAAGAGAAATATATGATCTATAGATCATACATTTCTCTGATATTATAATATTAAATATTCTATAATGAACAAAGATAACATATTTTTTATAAATAGGGTATTATTTTTAATTGATTAACAGGGTACACTTTTTATTTATTTGAGAATTTAACATTTTAAAAATAATAAGTATATACTCAAGAATTTTTGTAGATATAAATAATATAATAATTCTAATAAATAATTATATTTTGAAAAATAACTTCATTTAATAAATAGTATCAATCTTTCAGTATTTTTATAAAGATTTTAATGAAATACGTCATTTTTAATTTAAGTCACAATTGCTGTTTCATTAGTGTTGCTTTTATATTATTACTTTTTAAACTCTATTGGTAATATAAAAATACTAAAGATTATCAATTTGTATTGTCATATTTTGTAGTTGTTTTTATTTTTTTCAAAATTTATATATATATATAATAAAATTATAAATTACATATAATATAAATAATAATTACACCCACATAAGGAAAATAAGTACAGCTTAATTATTAATATTAATTAAACATAATTATAGTACAGAATACATAAAAGTTTAATTAATACATTAAAATAACTTAAAAGGTTTTAAATTTGGTTAAATGGTTAAAAAAATAAAAATTTTAATAGCATTACAAAAGAGAAGTATTTTTGACGAATTTAAATGTTCATTTTTTATTAATTGTATCAATTAATAAATTAAAAAATATGAAACTTAAATTTTTTACATAACTTCCTAAAATTATTTTATTTATATACTTACAAATTAATAGCATCCAACTTTTATTATTATTTGACTTATTTAAATAATCTTTAATTCCCATATTAATATAATTTTTCACACAATCATTTTTTTTTAGTACTTTTAAATCCTGCTAGTTATAAGTTTATTCTTTTTGTTAAATTACCGTATATTTAATTAAAATAGCTTTATTTGTTTAATAATTTGTTATAAATAAATATGCATATAATAAGTATGATAATTAGAAGTAATGCACAAAATTTTAAAGTTTATCGTTTTTATTAATGAAATTCAACTACTGATAATCACTGTAAAATATAATTACTATAATAATAGAACATAATGTATTTGATATCGGATATATTTTTAATTTCATGCAAAAATAAAACTCTTTTCCTAATATTTAGTTTATTTTAAAGTTTTATTATAATTATTCTGTTATTGTTAAAAAATATTTAACTATTTTAACAATTATGCCAACAGTTTTTTTTCTTAATTTAATGAGCTTACATTATGGTAAAATAAATTTTATAACATCTTAGGATAACACAAAATAAACATGTTTAAAAACACAACTAAATTTTTATTTTATTGAATGTTTATTTATTATTCGAAGTTTTTTGGAACGGTACTACATTTTGCTTTCTAAGTTACAACCGTGTGATAATTTTGATGTATACAATATTTTTGATTCTCGTTGTATTAAATATATATTGGCTAAAAAAAATTCTATGATGGAAATAAAGAAATAGTATAAAAAAAATGGTTGTAGCAACGTTTTTTGTTGTTGGCTAAAATGTTAAAAAAAAAATAGTATATAAGACCAAGTAAATCAAAAATTCATTGAGACTTAGCCTTGACAGCGAACGAAGAACATCTACGCCTTTGTGGAAGCTCACCAGCTAGAAGTTTCAGTCGCATCGATATCAAATCTTGAAGATATTGGAATCAACGCGACATATTCGCAAGTCGAATAATTAAATTAATTTGCAATTTTATTGAACATAATATGAACATGACATTGTTGAAGAAAAATATCAAGTAGTCATTATTTTCCATGATTACAAACAAAATTTAACAGAAGCCACAATTGAACAGATGAACTAAGACATCTTATTTCGTACGCTCCTTAGAAAGCAGAAGAATAGTAATTGACTTATGTGATAAGCTGTGTAAATTTGAAAAACTTCATAGAATGCCGATAAATATGGTATGTATTTTGCCGCTAATTAGTATCGTAGAAAGATAATGGAAAATATGAATGATGGCATGTTAATTATTTATTTTATTGAAATTGCGCAAAGTATATTTTATCTGACAGAAATTATGAGATACACAAATAGTTTCGGAGACAGACTTTATTAATGGAAATCATTGTAACACCACCACCAAAAGAAATGTTGACCGCTCTTTTTGCGACGCCAAAACAATAAAAATGATTGGATCTAGCACGTTAGTGAAACTGTTTTAATGTAATGACAAAATATTGGTAATGCCTCGAAATTCTTATCAATTTGACAATTTTACCGTATACTTTCATGACTGTATTCAACAGCTGACGTATATGTGTAATGTTATTTTTGGAAAATCTTATTATATAATAGAATAAGGAAAAACAGCTTTTCTGGGAAAATTATTTAGCGTGCTCTGATTTTCAATTTTTGTTTAACCAAAGTACTCGGTCACGAGATTCCGGAAAATTATTGGCGAAATTTTTGCCGTTCGCCCGCAGCGTTTTAGAATTTCGTCCGTTTACGAGAAAATTGCATTTTACTTATAGTTTGAAATTTTCACCAGCCCTCTCTAAAGATATTACTGATATATCATAAATAATTTAACTCAATCCATTCTAAATTCATCGTTCTATATGTTCGGGACGATGCCCGAATTCCTTGCAACACATTAGACATGTAAACGATTTTTTTTAGATTCGTAACTTTACCACGGCGATTTACACGTGTCGTGGAAGCGCTAAAGATCCGAGATTCGACTAATACTTTAACCGCTAAGAGCGTTTGAAATTCATAAAATTTTTCAAGGCTATTCTATTTTTCTCTTTAATTTATATTTAATACAAGTTAGTGTAGTCATTTATGTATTGATCGAGTTAGATTATTAACAACTCTTTTTGTCTAATATTATGTTATTTATTATATATTACATTTTTGGATTATTAAGTATCGAGATATTTTATATCAATTTCTTTTAATTATGTTTGTAATACAAAATTTGTTGATATATATTTTATCAAATTCATTGGTATATATATTTTAATTTGTTTAAACTTATACACTATAATCAATTTAATGTTCAAATATAATTTATTCATTTTGAACTTTTTTTTTTGTGTCCACGCCGAGGTTATATGTGCATTAGCGCATATATTTTGTATATTTTACCAATGATAAGTTATATATAAATCTCAGCACGATTGTAAGTATATAAGTTTATACATACATTATCAGGACAGGATAGTCTATTAATAATAGTATTTATCTCGTATATGATATAGTCTACATGTAATTGGGACCCATCTATGATAATTATACTGTACAAGGACAAATCACAGTAATTAATATTCTTATCAAAATTGACCTAGTCCTAGGAATAATAATAATAACCTTTTGAACTCTGTAATTATTCTATAATATTAACACAATTATAATAATTAGAATATTTTTAATTATTGTGTATAACAGTGTCGTATTTAAGGGATATATATAAGCGATTACCCCTTTTAGACCAGTGCCATCAATATTTCTTTAGGCTGATATCTAAGAAATTAGCTCAGAAGACTTTTTGATCATCACTATTAGCAAAATTTCTATAGCATGTTTACTAAAGTAAAAAAAAATTAAATACCCTCCTAAAATGATTTCTGAATACGCCCCTGATGAATTGCTCAGTAAACAAACATCAACTAGAAAAATAAATTATATTTAGTATATAATTTATTGTATTTTACCTAATTGAAATATAATAAATACCACCTTATTTGAGGTATTTATAATAAAAAAAATATTATATTTATTTTATTAAAAGTATTTACATTTAATACTAAAGTTAAATTTAATTTTTAATAAAATACTAAATCTATAAATTATTAATCATTTTTGGAAATTAAGGAAAAGGTTAAAATTATTTTTCACAAATCAAATATTATTAATTTGAAAATAAAATAATTTTTTTTGTTTGTATGTAATATTTCCTAATTAGCAATTGTTTCATAAACTAGACATACTGAATAAATTCTAATTACTTTTACCTCAGTTAACATTATTTTTGCAAACCAATATTACAACTATTAATTATGAATAGTATTTAAAAATTAAATTATAATACTTTAATATGATTCAATGACTGTCTCTTGTATAATTTATTATGCAAGCAAAATTTCTATAGATATTTTACACAAATTAAACTTGTATATGATTAAGATTCNATAGATATTTTACACAAATTAAACTTGTATATGATTAAGATTCAGTTAAATCTTTATAAGTAATTTAAAAAAAAATATATAGAAATAAAAAGTATAACCCCAATTAAAATAAAATAAATACAATTTTATGTAAGAAAATAATTTATTATCATCATTAACAAAAAAATTTTTTTTTGTTTTACTAGTACAACTATACAATAGGAAAAAACGATCAAAACAAAATTAAGTCCAGAAAGAATTATTTATACAACAACAAGTGTTTATTAAAATAAAGGTATGTTGATAAATATCAAATATTTCACTGTATGTATAAATCACACTATAGATTAAAGTGTTAAATTCTTTAAAAAGACACATTTAAAAACTATGGAAGCTTACTATTATTTTGATAACTATTATAAAAAACAACAAATGTAATTTTGTATCGAATGAATGTTTGAGGATATGAAGTCTTAAATATTTTAGTTCCGAATAATCAAATTAAAAAAATAAGTTGTATTGAAGAGACTAAAAAAGTAATTATTTACATGACTGAATATTGGTCATTTTAATGATTGGTAACAATACTTTAAATTTAAAAGAATTAAATTATTTTTTATAATAAGTCATAAACAATATTAATGTAATATTCTATATAAATGAAAATAATTGCACAATAATGGTGCATTAATAATTTAACAATACACATGGTATTATATAATACCATTTAAAGTTTTATGTGGATTAGTATTAAGTTCTTGTACAGATACTAATGGTGTGTACTTGCAGTTAGTTTCATCATTTTCATTTAACAGGGAAGGTTGAGAGGAATATCGTCTATTTTTCCTATTAATACCATTATTATAAATTATTTCTGATCTGTAGAGTACAAAACGTAAATTTTAATAAAAGATAACCTTAATATTTTATTAATTTAAGCCAATTACTTTTCTGAAATTTGTTCTTTATTGTTTCCTTGTGCTATTGTCAGAACTTTTAAAAGTCTAGTCACTGTGTTATCGAGTTCAATCACTTGATCTAGAAGATCAGCATCTGGCAGTTTGAAATCTTCAAGAAATTCTAAACCATCAACACCAAAATTCACACTAGACTCCAATTTCTGTCTAGCAAATATAGCCTCCGATAAATTATTGAGAGATTCACTTCCTACTGATTGTAAATCACTACAATCTGAAATGAATTAAATAAAAATGTTATGTATTAAATTCATAGATTCAATGTTTAATAAAATAAATCAAATAAAAATAGCAAAAATTTGAAGATATACAGAATGATTGTTTAATTATGACTCATGGATTATATTAAAAAGTATATAACATATTAAATACTTTTTTTTGTAAGTTAATAGTATATGGAAACACATATGTTTATCAAGCTTACAAACAAGAAAATAATTTAATGTAATGAAATGCTTTCTTTTGAAAAATAAAATTGACACCCTAACAAGGCATAAGAGACAAATTAAAAAAATATTACACAGCAAATAATTTGAGAACAATATGTAATTAGCAGTAAAAAAAAAAATTTCACATTTATATTCAGTGTGTAATTTAGTGATGAATGATAAAGGGATTACCCTGAATAAATTAATATTATTGATTTATAATACAGTAATCAATAATATAACAAAATAAATCTGTTATTAATGAGGAAAAAAAGATTAAAAATCATATTTAGAGTTAATTGTTATAAAAATCAAAGATCAATTCGAATATAATTTTATGAAAAGATTTATTAGTTTCTTAATAAAAAAAAAATCAAGATATTACCATCTAAGGAATCATTGTTTGATAATAAATCGGCAGATAAATTATTTTCATTGATAATTTGACAATCACCATTTTGGAATTCTTTTAAAGACACTGAACGTTTTGCTGGGTAAATATTAGTTTCATTGATGTTGGAACTACCTAAAAATAATAGAATTTACATAAAATATATTTAAATTTAATTACAGCCACAAAAAAAAAAAAAACAACAACAACAACAACAACAACAATTTTCGAGTTCAGGAACTTTACCATGTATATCATATGTTTTTGAGGTCATTGAATCCGAATTTGAGGTCTAAATCACCCCATCGGGTCAGGGTTTTTCATAACGTCAAAAAAAAAAAAAACACTTCATCGAGTCATATAACGATAAACCCTTCATATCAAACGACATAACCTTTTAAAATCATAACACAATCACCCCATCTTACCTTGGGGTCAATGGAATTATGGGGTTATATGATTATGGACTTACAGTAACAAGGTATGATGGGGTGATTTTAAAAGATTATGTCATTTGATGTGAAAGGTTTATCGTTATATGACTCAATGAAAAGGTTTTTTTGAGGTAATGAAAAACCCTGACCCGGTGGGGTGATTTAGACCTCAAATTCGGATTCAGTGACCTCAAAAACATATAGTTAACATGGTCAGATTCCCGAACTCGAAAATTGGTTTTTTTGTGTGGTTTGTAATAAAAAAAAATATTACTTGAAAAATGTTTATTAGGTTTTCCTTTTTGCCAACTAGAAGGAGCAGATTTTATTGCTGAGACAATAGCTGATAGTAGACTTTTAGAATCAGTTTTACTAGATGTAAGGTGTTGTTCTGAATCACTATTACTATCACCATTTGTATATGCTTCATTAAAATAAACTTCATCCTAAATAAAATAATTAAAAAAAAAACAACAAATTTATTTTTGATTAATTACATTAAAATTTTTTTTTATTTTCAAACCTCAATATCACTATCTGATATGGAATATGATTTGATAAGCTTGTCTAATAATAAATCAAGACGATTTCCTAATTTAGATAATCCAACAATAGCACCAGACACAGTAGAATCTTGCTGCTGTAAAAGTTCTCGAGTTTTATTTTCCATTGCTCGTAGCTTGGCTTGTAATGTTAAATTTTCTTGTCTACGTTGCTCAGATATTCTCACTAAATGTATACATTGATCTTTATGTTTAGATGCTTCTTTTTCTTTTATAGAAAATTGTTCTTTGGTTTCTTTAATCTGTTAAGAAAGAAATTAAAATTAAAAACTTTATTTTATTAACTTATAAATGTTTTTATGAATTTTACTTCTTTTTCTAAGTCCTTAATAGTATCCAATAGCATCGATTTTTCAGTTTGCAAAAATTCTTGTATTTCAGATGATTCCATTTCTGCAGCCTGATTTGCTTGTAAAAGAGATTTTTGAGCAGCATAGCTTTTTTCAAGATCCTAGAAAAATACATTTTTTTAATTTTTTTTTTTTTTTTGAATCAATTAAATTGTGTTACCCTATGTAGAGAATTACAAAGACATTTAAGATTACTAATCTCTTTCTGTTGATCATTAATAATACATGTAGTAGATGTCGCCTGTCTTTCTAATATTTGTAATATATTTGATGGTGTTGGATCCAAACAATCTGTTAAACAATAATAATCATTTCAATGTTTTAACAACTAATAAAAGACAATATTTTAATCTTACCATTTATTTGGAAAATGTTACACAGTCTTAAGCTATATGCATCTATTTGCTTGCATGATTCTACATTGTCTTGATTTAATTGTTGTTGCAACTCTTTAATGCACTCTTGTTGCTCATTTAATTCTTTCATTTTACAGTCTAATTTTTCAGTCTTTTCCTTAAGGTCAGTCTCAAGTGCATCAATTTTTTTAGAAACCAAATCCACCTGAAATTTTTGTAAAGTATCTATATAAGTTTGAAAAAAATAAATGTTTACGTGTCAACTTGAACAATGTAAAAAAAATTAGAACTAGCTATACTAACATGTACTTGAGCATCATTGGTTTCAACCCTGTTTTCAATTGGTGTCAGTACATTACCAGCTAAAATACTAGTGATGTCATTACCCGTTAAACAAGTTTGGGAATATACTTCATGATAAATTTTGGTCTTAACAGGTGTTGTTGGAGGTATCCTTGTAACCTTAGGCAATGTTGACTTGTGTGGTGATGGTGTCGAGTTATAATGAGAAGAAGCGGCAGCTGCAGCAGCACCTTGTTCAATGTGTTTTCTCCTGAGGCTTGCAGCCCTATTAAGACTAGGCTCTTTAGGTGGTGTTGCAACAGGAGGAACAACAGTAGCTATGTTTTCTTTAGATTTTCTCTTCCTTCGTGGTAATGTTGCATACCGATCTAATGATTTGACCATGTCATAAGTGCTCACAAGTTTTTTAACAGTTGAGATTTTTGATTGTTTGGCAACTGCATTCAAATCTGGTTTTCTAGAAGATGAGGTGTCTGCAGTTTTAGGAGGAGTAGTTCTATTACCATTGGATTCAAAATGAAACGATGAAGACATGCTGTTAGACATTTTAGTACGATCTGATCGTCGCCATGTTGGAGTTGAAGGCCTACTGGAAAAACTGCCAGCAGTATAACACGGTAGTGAAGATGGTCCAGCACTTGTAGGGCTAAATGGGCCCACAGGACTTTTACATGGATCATAGCAGCCAGAAGCTAAACTGGAATCACATGAGGCGGCAGGCGTTACATCTACTCCACTGTCACTACCGCCGCAGGTCGCTTCTTCTACGTTTAAATGCAGTTTTTTTTTATTTCCTTCCTCTTCTGCTCCCTCCATAATTGGGAACTATTAACATACAAATTACAATTTCATTATTAGAAATTTCTAATAACCCAACTAAAATGGTTATATTTTTTCAATACAAAAAGTACAAATAGATTAAAAAGTTAATCATCATATAAAACTATGAAAAATGTAAGTTTAATTTAACAAATACTTATAATTTAAATAATGAAAGAAAATTATCATTTTTATGAAACAATAAAAATATTCATAAAAATCAGTTTTCTAAAGTATAAATAATATTTCAATAAGTTAACAATAGTAGATGACAAATAGGTTCAGACAGCTGTTCTGTCGATTCACTTTTAACCATTTTCACGGTCATACATGTGAAGGGATGCACAAACCCTGTTGAATAGGGGAGTTGCTACGGCAACAACTGCCCTAGGGCATTGGCCAATATTAATAGAATGTAGACAGGGTATAATTCGGGGTGTTCGCGACATGAGATTTGTTGCTTTATAGGACGTCTGCCAGGGTGTTACTCACTGCCCCCAATACCGTGCAAACATGACTCAACAGACTGGGTTTATTTTGCATTACAACGCGATCGTAAATGTGATAGGAGAGGATTCGGTCGACGAGACATCATATTTGCCGCCAATTTATGTCTGGTTGTTATGTTCCACATAAAATAGGGTAGTCGTTTTGCTGTAACCTCAAACTGTGGTGTAAATAACATGATGTTCTCTATAAATTATGTGAATAAATTAAGAGTTCCCGGAGGAGAAACGTTTAAAAGTTGATTAGTTTTATGGTCGAAGATCAACCCCCCGCCATTTCCTATTTTGAGAACAAGTTCTATGAACACAGTCGACGATTCTCGGAAACCTACATTTTGAGTAAGATAAGAGCAAAGAATGTTTTTCTGGAAACACTATCCAGCGCGTTCAAAAATAATAATATGGTTTTGAACCTAATGAGTAATATCCGTTTACAATGTTATGATTATTGCAAATAATTTCTGGAATTATAATTGGAATTCAAAATTAAATATCAAATTTATAGTAACAACAGTAAACTAAGAATAAAATCTGTAAAGCAATCAAAATAATTCGATGGTTCTAGTATTATCGAATTGTTTTAGCAAGTGAAAATAAAAATAAAGAAATTTTTTTTTTAATGAAATTATTAGATCTATCATTATTAAATGATTAAATTGGGTTTTATAATCAAAAACCATAAGATGTCATACAATTTTGTCGTAAGTTAAAAAAAAAAAATTTAATTGTAATTTATTTGTAGTTACAATATAAAATGTTGATTATTGAATTCTGAACAAATTTTACTTGGGACATTTTTCCCGAGCATTATCAAATTTCTCTTCAACTTATTTGACTTCAAATGAACTTTTTTTAGTTGTTTACTATTTTCATTGTATTCGTGAAGGTGGTTGACTCACTATGAACACAGGTATTTTGATACAATATTAAACCTAAATACGTTAATGGTTTTTGGATTGAGATCGCAAGTAATTTAAAAGAATGTAGATCGATAAAATATGATTTAAGTTTTAAAGGTTATTATTATACTGGCAAGGACACGTGTTACTCTATTTGGTGATATACTATCCAAAATGCTCTGAAAACTAGTAGAAAAAAACAACACGATTTCATTAAATTTCCCAGAGTACAATTTATTACATAATGGCAAACCCACATACACGACCTAGACAATATACCACGTGAACCGTATAGTTTTATGTAAAGAAAAAAAGAAAAGGCGTAAACACTATGGCATATGATTTATACGGTTTACGGCATAGGACGATGCGCTAGAAAAATCTCATTACGGAATTAATTTTCTTCTTTCTTGGTGTAAAATATGTAGCCGCCATACATGGGAAAATATAATATAAGGTTGGATATTAAATACTAGACGAAGTATAGCTTTTAAATAATAACTTCATGCTATTGTTGTTTTATCGATTTGAACAGAATTCGCAATAATTTGACGACCGTTAAACAATAATGAATTGTCATCCAACAATTTAAAAAACAATACATGGAAACTACGAGATATAAAAGATAAAAAGAGATAAGATGTGGTTTGCAAGCAGTGTAATATGTTTGAGCAAGAAAATAGCTTTTCACAGAAAAAGTTTTAAGATTGAAAATAACAAAAGAATACACATATGTATAAGTAATTTTTTATCTCAAAACAAATAAATAAAATGCAGATTTAACACAGTGAAATCGTTAAGCTTAAGGTTTAAACTAACTTATAAGTTTTGAAAAGACATTAATTATGACTTCGACAAGTTCTCATAATTCTATTTAAGTTCTACGAGCAAATCAGAAAATCAGTAACAAATTTTACATTTTTGTATTGAATAAAAACTAAAACGATTCCAGTTTTTTTACTATGTTTAGTTGCTATTTTACAATTATACTATAAGATAGGTTATTTTTTATTTAATTCAGTAAGGCGCATAGTTAATTTGATTTTATTATTTTAAGGGTAATAAAAATTAAATAGAAATTACAAATATTTAAACGATGATAATGCAAAATTAAATATACTTATTTTACTTCTTTACGATTCGTAAACTTGCATGTATAATATGGATAAAGTAATTACTTAAATTTCAAAAAGTTTCAATGCTCACAAAAAAACACATTATTATTGATAAAAATCTTAAAACTCGTACAATTTTACTTTCACGCTCATCAACTGTTAAACACCATTAATACACTAAAAGTGAAACTGATATTATTTTAAAATATTTTATTGGATACCCAAATAATTCAAAATGTATTAAACATATAATACACAAATAATATTAGTCAAATGTTTACATCACGATTATGTTGTCATTTTAAATTTAATTATAAAACAACAAGCACCTGTACCAATGATAATGTGTCTTATCTATATAAATACATTGTGCTTTATTAAAAATAAATGGTTGAACTGGTAACGCGTATAATTTCGATTTTTTTTATTCTAAAACACTCGTTGTTTTAGCTTATTCATTTAAAAGTTAAATTGATGTAGTAGAAAAATTTAAATTAAGTCAAATCAAGACATTATAACTCAGTGTTTAAATACTTGAAATTAATTTGAAGAATGTACGGCTTAAAATGCAGTTAGATGCCAGTTTTGTCCTAATGCACAGGAGAACAAAAACGCTATCATACCATCCTTTCTGTATAAAGGGAACAAAAATAACTGTTTTATGTTTCCAGCACGAGTCATAGCCCGTGAAGTATATAAATATAAAGTTTGGCATGTGAAAAAATACTATAAGTAAAAATACTGCCAGTCTACAATTGATTAATAGCTACCGAATATCACAACAATAATGCAATTGTAACTATTAATTAAAACCATAAAGTGTGCATGTTAATCTCGCATTAATTTTAAGTAATTTTCTTTTTTTACAAAATTATCATTATTCTAGGAGAAATTTAGTAGCCAATGGAGTTTTCACAAATCAAATAACTTAAAAATTCATATGATGTTATTAGATTGAATTTTTAAGTCATAGTAAGCGTTTTAAATTTTTCTCGAAATATGTATACGCAATTTTTTAGTAATATTTTGTGACTTGTGGGGAGTTACATGCTTTTTAGTTTTAAATAAAAAAGTTTCAATTTATTTCATTTAATTAAATATTATTATTTTTGGTAATATTTCCATGGTTCTAAAGTAAAATAATAATTTAAAAAATATAACGCAAAATATTCAATAAATCTATTTATTTATTTTTTATTCAGTGGAATAGAATAGTTATTAAATTTAGCAAAAAATCGTGTACTATTCTGTATATACCGGATATATCAAAGTACAATATTGAATTTAAAAACATATTTAGAAGACAACTAATTCAGGATCCATTTAGAATAAAAATAACCATGTACAGAATTCACCATAAGGCAACAATTGACTTTTGGATATTTTAGTATACCTGAATTTAGTTTAACTTCTGATAGTGTATCTTCAAGTAATGCAAGTCAACTCAAATTTAAAACAATTGCAGTATTAGTTTTAAATTATTATTATTATTTGTATTATTAGTTTAAATAAAATTTGAGGTAGTAATGAAGTCATCGTAATTATAATTTAATTATTTCTATATAATTACAATAGTCCACTATATGATCTTTCTGTAATAATATTTGTATTGCATTTTAACTGATACTAAATTAAATTTCAATAAAACTTCAGAAACGAATTGATGGTTGGGTTCTTGAAAGAGTGTAATGCTTACTACAAAAATAATAAGAATTCGAACCTGACAACCTTATAACATAGCGATAACTTCATAAAAATCTATCAAAAACCATAGAAGTACTTAAATGTTCATTAAAAACACTTAAACATTTTACAAGTTCGAAACACCAATTATAATTACAATTAATAACAATAGTTTCAAAAACTTAAAAGAATTCATTTTATTTTTGCAAAGTACATTGTTATTTCAATAGTATTATTTAGAAATGAAATACTTTAGATATTTTTTTTATGATATATTATACATAGTCATATAGTTATAAAAAATGATGGGATTTACCCTTTAAAAGAGATTTAAACATCAAATAATAACATTTTGGCTTAGTCTTGTTGGGTAATTAAACATGTAACACACATTATTTGTTTCGGGTAAACCAATTGAAGGGTTTAGGGGAAACCCATTTTTTTCGAATTTAATTTTATGGCTTCATTTGTTAACACAGTAGTAGTCTTAATTAAGGATATTCATTCGGTGAAAAATGTTTTCATTATGTTAATAATAAAGTATCTCTTTTTGTTTCGGTATAATTTCGATTTTGCTCAACTGAAAAATGTACAGAAATGGACTATTACTGTTTTCCCCTGTACCCTTTAATTAAGTAATATCAATAGTATCTACTTGCCAATTATTGTTTATTATTTTAACATTGTTTTAAGCTCCGATGACTTCATTCACAATAAACAGTTCTACAGAATTAGTTAAAATTTGACACGTGTAAATCCTAATTTGCACGTTATTACTTGTCTATAATGAGGCGTTTTGTTTA